CTTCTATGTAAAAATATGCCACTTTTCAACAACCAGATGCATACATAATATTAAAGATTCATCTTTGCCTCAAACTCTAAACCTCTCTTTATGATTGTTATTTCTAGTGATCTGATGAGTTATTATAAGGTGAGCATCCTTATAACAATCACCTAGATCAAGAAATCAAAATTTGACAGATACCCAGAAACACCTTCCACATACTCCATCTTATCTCAACCTCCTTTCTCTTCAAGGTAGCTAATGAGTTTCCCGGTATTAACCTCCTTGTTCTTCTTTACAGTATTATTACATAAGTGTGCACCACTCCCAGGTACTGTAGTTTAGTCTTGCCTAATTTTATTAACTTGTCTTATCTTTTAAGTGTCTTAAAATTTCTCAAAATCTCTTTGATTTTCTTTATAATTTCACAACTTAAATATGCAGGGATTTGATCTATGGAGAGAGTACCTGAGTTTGGATTTGTCCGAGCACATGTTCCTGATGAGGTTAAATGTGTTCCCATGTCTTGATTTCCTGAACACTGGCAGAGAAATCCAGAGGATTCACCAAGTTCCATTCCTTTGGCAAGAATATATTCGGCTGTGGTGTTCTTTCAGGGAAAGCCACATCATACCTGATTTTCCTCTCTTTGTGATATGAGCAGCCACAGATGCTCCACACCTTGACCCACTAACTCATAATGTTGCCAAATGATAGTACACTAATTCAGTTATTTATTTTTCACTTATGAGTTGGGAATGCTTTTATAAAGAGGTTATTCTTCCTGTCTACTCTTTGCTCCCAAGGACTGAGTTCTAAGCCATTATGGTGTTGGGCTTCTTTGCTACACCCCTGAGCTATTTGTTCCATCTAAATGGAGTTTTAAAAGAGGGCAGGGAGTTATAGGTTGGTAGAAAGTTATTCAAAGCAAAACTGTTCAATTCTTCCTCTGCCTCCACATTAAATAAGAGCCTCACAATTTGAAGGAAAAAAAAAATGCACAAGTGAACACATGGAAGTAAAGATGGATAAAGCAGGTGGACACATATCTTTATTTTTTTTTAATGTGGTGCTGAGGATCGAACCCAGGGCATCGAGCATGTTAGGCAAGCACCCTACCTCTGAGGAAGAGCATGAGAAGAAGATTATCACTAAAAAGGGAAGAGAGGTGAGACAGAGAGAGAGAGGGAGAAGGGAATTGCACGGAAGATAAGAAGGAGACCCTCATAGTTATACAGAATACATGTATGATGATGTGAGGAAAAAGAAAAAAAAAGAAGTGTGTCACATTAGATTGGGTAGAGAGAAATGATGGGATGGGGGAAGGGGGGAATGGAAGGACAACAGAATAAAATAGACATCATTATTGCTGTATGTATATACATGACTGCATGATCAATGTGATTCTGCAACCTGTACACTCAGAAAAATGAGAAATTATACCCCGTCTGATTCAAATGTATGATATGTCAAGATCATTATACTGTCATGTGTAACTAATTAAAACAAATTTTTTTAAAAAGATGTATAAAGCATCATGGGTAATTTGAGAGGATGCCTGGGGGCACAACAGCCATACCTGACTTCACAGGGCCAAGGTAAACATGGCACAAAAAAGGGGAGAGACATGCCCAGGAGTTGGTCTTCTTACCAGGTTTCTGCACCTGCCTGGGTTACACACTGCAAGGGGGGAAATGATGGAGTAAGGAGAAATAGCAGTCTGCTCCTACCCACTAAGGCAAGGGCAGGTTTGCATTTTGTCTCCTAGGAAGGCACAAAGATGGTAATGATGCTGGGCTGTGACTGGATGGGATAACACAGGCTGCTAAAAATTGTTCTTTAAGAGGAATAGGATCCAGGCCGGGGTTGTGGCTTAGTGGTAGAGTGCTTGCCTAGCACTGTGTTCAATTCTTAACACCACATGAAAATGAGTGAATAAAAGCATTGTGTCTATCTACAACAACAACGAAAAAAGAGAAGTAAGCCTATTAGTACATTGTCTCATTGGAGATGAGATTTTCAGGTTTGATTCTGTTTTTAAATGTAGGTGCTTTGGGGAATGTAAGGAAAGCCATGGATGTTCTCTACTGAAAAACACACGTAGAAATATGAAAACATTTAAATGTCTGATTTCAGAGAAGTCACATACTCCTGCAAGCCTACTCACAAATAGGTCTCTAAAATAGTCATTTTAGCCTTCTTTTGTACTGAAGTCACCTGGGCAATTTAAGAAATACTGATTACTGGATCCCATCCAGAAGATCTCCAAGGGCCACTAGAAAGTTTTATAATATTTTATGGGATGGCAAGAACCAATTGAAGGATTTTCTGAGAGGAAAGTACCTTTGTCCCTCTTTACATAGAACCAAGCACATATATCTTGTAGTAGTCAGCTTTTCATTGCTGTGACAAATATCTGAGGAAAACAACTTAGAGGAAGTAATATCTATTTGGGCTCATGGTTTCAGATGTCTCAGTCCCTGGTCCAACAGCTCTAAGGCAAAAACATCATGGCGAAAGAGTATGTTAGAGGAGAACTGCTCAACTAATGGCTGCCAAGAAGCAAAGAGAGTAGAAGAGGCCAGGCACAAGATATAGTCCCCAGTGACCTGCTTCCTTCAACTAGGTCCCACATCCTACAGTTCCCAATAATACCTTCAAATTATTAATCCACTAATGGGGTCAGATCCTTCATGATCCAATCCCTTCCCTAAAGCCCACCTCTGAACATTGCTGCAGGGGCATCAAGCTTTCAACACATGACTCTTTGGGGAGTCTTCATATCCAAATGGTAATATGTCATATCCAAACCACAATATATCCCATCCTGAGGCTCTTTAAAAGATAAGAAATAATATCTTCATTCTCAATTAGAAATACTGTTTTTAATAAGAAAAGGATTGAAAGACCAAGGGGGCTAGCCCAGTGCTTGGCACTCAAAGTGGGCATGTTTGAATGTTTGCTGAATTTATATGCAGAGCACATGACAAGAGTATATATGGTGAGTGAGAAAGTTGGTAAGGCAGCAAGGGCTAAGGAAACAGTGTACTTGAACATGGAGAGAAAAACACTGTAGTATGGGTGGGAAGGCAAAAATACATCCTTCACATTGCAAGCCAGTGCCCATGGGGATCCTGAAACATGGTATATACATCATAAATAGTGTTCAAATGCATGAGCCAGAGATATCTAGTTGCCCTTCCTACAACTTCTTTTTCCTACAGGTGACAATGTTTTTAAATTTTAGATTTTGAAGTATTTCAAACATAGAGAAATGAAGTAACACATCCATTTACACCCTGACCAAATTTGACCACGCTAAATGTTCTTTTCTACTCTTTTGAGTCTAATAGTAAGTGCCATTTCATGTCAAACAACCCCCAAAACTTGAACAATAAAACATGTCTTTGAGATGACTGTCACTCCTCAAAATTATTCATCCCAAATTGAAGGTGAAGTAAAGAAATAATTCTGAAAAAGTTCCACAGATTAGGAGATGAGCAAAATGAAACAATGAGATATATATGAATGTATGTATGTATGTATATATATATGACTAAAACAGCAGTGTGAGTATGTCTTCTTAAAGACTAGATTAATATCTACTATTCTATCATAGTGTGCTGTGGTTTATCCCTCTGAAACTCATGTTGGAGCTTGATCTCCAGATGGTAGAAACTTAACAATGACATATAAAAGTGAGGCCCACTGGGAGGTGATTAAGAGTAGATTAGATCATCAGAGTTGAGCCCTATGATCAGGTACAAGTAGCTTTATAAAAGAATAAAGAATGTTCTGTCTCTCTCCATCTGAGCCCTAGGCCACTCTAGTTCTCTGTGCAAGAAAATCATTAGGTCATTAGTTGTGGCCCCCTAGCCTTAGACAAAAAGTTGAGCCAAAATAACTTACTTACTTAGTTTATGGTATAGCATTATTAACAACAGAAAACTGGCTTAACACATAGGAAAATCCATACCCACATGTGAGAAGTCAGGAGGTCTGGGACTGTGCTTTCTGTAGGTCAGTAAGTGCTCATGAAAACAAAAATCCTGTCAGTCTGAGTTTTTAATTGGCTGACTCCTCAAGCCCCTTACCAGTCTACTTGTTTCACCTTGAGACTCCCTGACAGCTATGGGGCCATGTGAAAATTTTAGCAGATCCAAGACCCTGAGCCCATCAGCCTGCGGACTTCCTCAGCTGAAAGGATGTGTGTTAACAGGAAATTCTGTCTTTCCAAAGGAAAGTTGACTGAACTGCTTCTAAACTTCTTGCCCAAGCTGAAGATGAGGCAAACATTTAATTATCAAAAGTGAAGGAAATGAGTGTAATAAGAAAACAGGACCCAGAAGTAAGAAATCAATTCTAAAAATCAGTCGTTAGAGATTTTGATTCATTTAAATTTCCCGTGAGAATCCATTCAGTCTTTTCTTCTGCCCATTCTGTGTTCCCCCAAATAATTCCTCCTCCTAGAAACCAATTTAGAGAGCACCACCTACTTACGCCATTTGGAACTATTACACTGTCACTGAAACAAATTAACACAATGGTTCCAAAACCATTAGAGGTCACCAAAGTTTGTGGAAAGGTGAGAATAAATTTATAAAAAGGATGGACTGCCAAAGTTTATGTGGCTGTTTTGAAGGACTTCCCATTTGCTTCTTGGCTGAAGTTTCCATTTTGAAGCTGTGCTTTTAAAAGGAAGACAGATAACATCTGCCTGCCGACGGAGCCAAGGAAATAATATATGGGAGTTGATGTCAAGTTGAAAAGTGACGGTAATGATATTAGGCAATGTGGATTTATAGTCCATTCACAGTGACACATTTGTTTCTGATTTAAGTTAATTAAGACCATTTTATTTCTTTCTGCTACCACATTCAACCTTTATAAGAAGAAAAAGCAAATAAATATACTTTCTTGGAGAGATTCCAGATTTCAGTAGTTTCATGTCAATGCAGAAGAAAAAGGCTGGGTGCAGCCCTGTCCCTGGGATTGCATCTATCAGCTGTTGTACTTACTGCAGTTACTTAGATTGCTGTCTGGGTCACACAGAGAGCTTCCACCACATGAGTCAAGGCAGGAACTGTAGAGACATCTTTGGTCTCCTTCTTGACATGGAGTCTGACCTGTGAAGGAAAGAAAGACACCGTGGCTTTCACTGACTCTGCATTCCTCACCCTGGGATCTGAAGGGTCAAGAATGCCTGGTGGAGCCGAGGAATGACACAACTTTAATTTCCTTCCAATTTCTCCCTAAAAATATCGAACACATGTGAAACAGGTACTATCTGAACTAATTTTCCTGGCAACTAAGTATAATAATCTATTCCAAGAAGATTCTGCAGGAATGAAGAAATAAGAAAAAAAAAACACAACAGGTGGTTGTTACTTTTAATGGAAAAAAGATAGAGTTTTATTTTTACATGGGTGTCTATACATTAAAATAAAATTCAAGTGAGTTGAGGGACAGAAAGCAATACGAAGATCTTGAAATTCTGAATATCCAGTGACATTACTTGTAAAGCTCATTTACTCCCAATTCTGGTCTCCCCTCTAAGGAAAATTCCCTAGTATTAGTTGAGAACCCACACCTGTACAATGAGAGTGCTCTATCATAGTAAGTCTCTTGCAGCTGTTATCCACATCATCACTATGGCCTTGAAGAGCACCTTCAGCCTAGTGAGATGACTTAGGTTTCTTGTTTCCAAATGAATGACAGCATTAATGTCAGCCTTTGCCCTAATGGCTTTTCCTTAAGGTATGTAGAAAGGAAACTGTTCTTCCCGTTGATTTCCTGGTCATTTGTAGATTAAGTGGATAAGGTAATAAATTACTGCCCTTTCACTTTCCATCTCTCCCTCATTATTATGGTCAATTACTTTTAGAAATGTCATGTGGAATCTGGAAAACACTGCAAGGCACTTTTCAGCATTGATAATGTTATGTGAGTATCTATAATCTTATATCTAATTCTAAGACAATGTTTATTATACTGGAATCCTTTTCCTTGCCAGGCTCACTACTATGCAATGCTATATATTACTGCCATACAGAAAAGAGATGTCACTGTCTATTTTTTTTTAAGCTAGCAGGTTAAGTTTTTTTCTTCCCCTCAAGGCAAGCTTAAACAATTTCCATGCACTTAAGCTCCTATTTTGGGACATTGCACATTCATTATTCCAGCAAATATTAAATGCTTACTCTGTGACAAGTGTATGTGACAAACTAGGTGCTGCATGTTGAAAGGTGAAGGAGCATGACAGCCTCTGTGAAGTAGCACCCACTCTAATAGGGACGCTGTCACAACCCAAGCTTCATGATGGCTATATGACCATTGCTTTACCAAAGATCTATATAAAGGGCAGCTGAAGCAGACAAGGGCACTAGGAGAAGCTTCCCAAAGGACTTTACCAGGTAGATGGGGCTATGCTGTGATAAGAGGGAAAGAGGGTTTTCCAAGCAGAAAAGCTACACATGTGCAGGATGAAGTCACTGGATCTTCAACCACTGTGGAGAATGAGGAAGAGTAGACAGGCAGGCAGAGCCAGAGCCTGGAGGGTTTTTAAGGCCTAACTCTTCAACAGGACCTTGTGAGTAGTGGGCGCTGTTTGCCTCCCACCCAACCCCACCATCTAGCAGAACAATTCTACAATCCATGATGACAGCTCTTATGCAGTCCAAGGCCCCTCCATCCTCAGCTCTCTGATCACAGTCGCCTTCTCCCTGTACCCTACACATGCCTTGCTCCTTCCCACCTCAGGACTCTTAGCCACCTAGTGCTGTGTGTCTGAAATGCTTTTCCAGTCCCTCTTCTCTTGGTCGATACCCAATGTTCTTCAGATCTGAGCTCCAGGATCTCGTCCCTGGGAGGCTTTGGCTGAGGGCTCCTGCCAGGACATGCACACCCCATTTTCCAGTGTAGGCCATGTCAAACTTTGCATTTAGACACTGACTTATATAACTATTTGTAGCATCTGTATGTCTCCCAGGAGTCTGTAATCTCCATCAGCAGTTTTGTTTGCCACTGAATTCCCAGTAGATGCACCCATATTGGCACCATGATAGCACACTTTTTTAAGTTGAATCCATTATAGTAAACAATATAAATGTACTAAAATGTGACTTTTTCTATACATTTTACGATGTGATTTTCTGACATTTCACACATGTAAGGAAATAATCTGCAAATCCTGCCTTTTTCATAGTGAAGCATCCACTATGAAATCACATAGAAATGATTTAATTATATGTAAAGAACAATTTGATCCAAAGGTAAGATCTTGGTTGATATGCACACCATAACTCATGCCTAGTAAAGGATTTCTGTTTGAATTTTAAAACGGATAAAACAAAGTTCTCTTTATGTATTATTTTCAAGTAATAAATATGTGTTATCAAAGCTCACCTTTTAGGCCTTGGAATCTCCCTCACTAAAGCTATTCTAATAACCAATATTCTTTATGATTAAACTAGCTTACCTGTATATCTACAGTGTGCAGTCTCATTTGCTGATTATGAATATGCAAAGCCCAATAAATGCTGTAACCACACAATAAGGACCAACACTTACTCCATTCTCACTAAACATCAACCCTACAAAGTAGTTATCACTATTTGGAGTATGGAAACACAGAAACTGAGACACAGAAGGATGAAGTAACTAGCCCAAAGAACACCGGATAGTAAGTGGTAAAGCCAGGGCTTGAAGCCAGGGCTATAGCAACCACATTCCTAACACCTAGGCTATTCTTGTATCCTATAAGCCAATGTGGTGATGGGTAAGCTTTGGGATATTCCTAACAGCTTTGTCCTGAGAGGCTTGCATATGCAAGAACTTAAAACAAACAGTGTGGAATTTTCTTTTCTGACAGAAATGTTCACATTTAAAAACCAACTTATTTGATCTACTCTTTCTTTTCAAGTTTCACACATGGATATCGCACTCTTTTTAAAGGGTGTTTGAGTTTATTGCTTGGTAATGTGAGATATTAGACTACCTCTCCTTAACGAGGTTATTTTAGGAAGCTGTTCCATTTAATTTCAGGAGCTAGTTTTTTTTTTCTAATTGGAATCTAATCTTGTTTAATTGGATGCTCTACACTAAACCTTCTTCTTTATCATGGCTCTCCCTATGAACAGCTAGCTGAATCTGACCATGTTGTTTCACCCCGTCCCTTCCCCCTGAGAAATGACTTTCAGCCTCTGTCACTCTAACACAGAAAGGTTTCCTGACTGCCCAGGGCAATGGGGATCCCTGAGGCAATATGAAAGATTTATGTGGAAATCCTTCTTAAACACTAAATTAACTTTCAGATATTTTTACTCCCTTCCCAAGGAAAAGTCCACCAATGAATAAATGTCCCAGGGGCCTGGGACACACTCACTGTCACCACAGTTCTCCTCATCACTCCCATCCTTGCAGTCCTCGTCTCCATCGCACTGGAAAGAGCTGGGGATACACTGTCCATTCCTGCACTCCACCAGGCCCTGGCTGTGACAGGCTAGGAAAGACCAGAACAGCACTCACCTTATTCATTCATTCTTCAATCTGCAAATCACAGGCATGATTCCTACCTATCAGGCATCACCAAGAAACGAAGTATTCTATGTACACAAATGGATCAATCAACGGCTTGTTAAATGCCAAGATTTTTTTTTTTTTTAGAATGCACAGTTTTCTTTCTAGAATTTTGCCTTCTTCTCTAAAGAGCGCTTGCTAAAAATTTACTTTTTCTTGGGAAGTGTGGGGTTGTTTTCAGTAATGGTAGTGGTGATACTACCAATAATATGAGATATGTGAAGGACCTCTCAATATAGTTTATTTCCACACTTGTTGATGACATCTGATATTTGAAGGGAAGATCCAGTAGCCATTAGCCTTGTGATTCCTGTAGTTTTTCTAATGTCAATGCCTACCATCTATTAGGGCAACAGAAACCCATGAACCTTGGGTTGTGTCCTTGCTGTCCCCAGATCATCTGCATACAGCCCACTCTGCTCCACTGGTTCACTGAGGAGGGGGCTCAGTTGACATTTCACTTCGAATTCAACTCAGGGCAGGGAAAAGCTGCACAATTTTGTTCCTGAAACATTTTACAAAATATTCTTATGCCCAAATTAAAACTGTTATTCAAATTTATGTTTTTGCCTCAAGTTATAAGCCAGTTAAATATTGAATTTCATATATGGTATCCCTAGATTCATTACTCACAGATTCAACCAATCACAGATTAAAAACACTCAGGGAAAAAAAGTTGTCCTGTACCGAACATGTAGAGACTTTTTTTCTTGTACTTATTCCTTAAACAAAATCTATATAGTATAACAACTATTTGCATAGCATTTACATTATATTGGGTATTATAAGTAATCTAGTGATTATTCAAAGTATATAGGAGGATACACATAGGTTACATGCAAATGTTGAAGCATTTATATAAGGGGTTTAAACATCCACAAATTTTGGCACCCATCCAGGGTCCTAGAGCCAATGCCCCACAGATATCAAGGGGCACTTGTATATCAACTCTTCCTACTTTTATTAGAAAGCAAAAGATGAAAAAAAAAATCTTAAAACTAGTTAGAATATGCATGAATTACATTACATTGACTCAGGTCAACTGTGCTCTCTTTAATATACAATTGCTATAATTCAATCATTTTTATTTTTGCCTGCTAGGGATAGTATATTTTCTGGGAGGTGGGAAAAACTTGTTGTTCCTGGTTTAGTAGTGTAAGAGCTACCTGAAATTTTCATTCACCCAGAAACACAATAGGCTGTAAAATGATCATTACAGTCACGCAATTTCTATGTCTATATAAACATAACAGACTCTCTTCTTTCTAGCAGTTCTTCCCGTGTTCTCCCATAAATGGCCCCTAAAACATGTTTGGAGGCTTCTATGGGGAAGTTTCATATAAACACTGAAACTGTTTATATGTTGTTTGCAGAAACAAGAACCACTGGTCTCTGGGAAGAGCATTACCTTTGGCAAAGCTACAGATACATAGAGAAGACCAGAGCAATGAGAAAGAAAACAGACGCCTGCTTGGCAGATGAGTCCCATTAAGTTTGGGAGAGAGGTGTGAAGTCACACACTATAATGCTATTGCCATCACACTCCTTGATTGCTACCTCTATAGGTAAGAAGCAAAGAATAAGAATGTCTCCCCTGGAATGGTGTATAGAGAGTGAACCTTGAGTATAGTCCTCAACCTTGAAAACCCACTGAACAAGAAGAAGTGGAAAGTAAGCAAAATGAGAATCCTCAGAGTACTCACAGCAATTGACCTCGTCGGATCTGTCCACACAGTCATGGTCACCATCACACACCCACTCAGCCACAATGCAGCGCCCATCCCCACAGCGATGCTCCTTTGTAGGATTGCAATCTGGAGGAAAGGAAGATGCATGGAGACAGAAATAGCATGAAAAACGTTTAGAATTGTGTGGCTCACAGTTCCAATGTAAGAGAATCTATTCCCACTGCCCCAATACCTCAGAAATATTTCTAGGATGAGCCTGACACAATTAAAATAGTACCTCCCACCAACCATGAGCCCTACTGCACACATCACCATGGGGGAGATGTGCCTGCTTCTCAGATGAATTACACTACTCTGCCCCACTTTGCCAGGGCCCTGATTCTGTTCTTATTGTTGTCCTCTTTTGTTTTCTTTCCTTATGGACAATTTGTGAATTTTATACTGACTCAAATAAACCACACTCTGATTTGTACTTCATGACGCAGAGAGCTGACTGGATGTATGTGTGACTGTCTCTCTTGTCTCTAAGAATTGTAATTTACCTCCCTGGCAAATTGGTAAGGCAAGTATCTCCTTATGTCATCTCTCCTAAAGCTCAGCTTAGGTTTCCTATACGGACTATCTTAATATACAACTCATATTTGAAAGAACTACTGAGTAAGCAATGCAAAATGTTATTGTTTTCATGATTCTTTTCAACTTGGATTTAAACTATATCCCAATCTACACATTCCTGGGGGGTGGCGGGGAGATCACTAAGTGATGTTTCCTCTCTCGAAGGGTAGAATCCATGGGCTGCCTTGCAATGTGACATGTATAATCTAAATATAAGTTAAAAGATGTGTGTGGAATCACGAATAGCAGATTCAGTATGGGAAATTAGCCTGTAAATCTCCATGAATAGAGCCACTGTCATAGACTCCTGAGAGATCCCCGAGTCTTGATGGTTTGGAGCAGTGAAGGAACGTATGTAGAAGACATAGCACAGAGAAAAAAAGAAGCACACAAAAGGTGAAATGCTTGGTTAGGAACCAGAAAAGCCATCCAAGTCCAGTCCACTAGAGACAGGGAGCCAGGGCAGAGACCAATCTGAGGGAAGGTCATAATTACAGCCATTAGATGAAAACAACTGCCAACTTTGGGGCACATACTTCATGATCTCCTAGCTCCAGAAGCCTTATGATGAGTGGCAGGGGTTTTCTTTTTACACATTAACTACTCTGGCCCTTTCCACTAACCTATCCAGCCAGCAAACTACATGAACTGCCCCACTCCCACATTTTTCCACTTATTTCATTGGAAAAAGGAGGAAATGGACTAGATGATCTCTAAGGCCCCTTGAAACTAAAGATTCTATGATGTGTATAATGCAATTCTAAGTCATAAGAATGCATTCAGTCTCACCCTTTGTCTGAACTCTAATCAGACCCAGAAGACAATCCATATCACTCATGGGATTATTTGTACACATACATATATTTCAATTTGTGTGTGTGATGCCGGAAACCAAACCCAAGGCCTCGTGCATGCTAGGCAAGTGCTCACCCACTGAGCTACACTCACAGTCCCGTTTTTCAATATCTTATTAAATACAGTGAGGGGAGTAGTCAGACAATGTTCCCAGAAACTACCAACATTCCTAGCATGGAATCGTTTCTGACACCCATCACTCCAAGATATTCCTCTGATCATTGGTCCTTTTCCAATATTCCTTTCAACATTCTCTAACACTGAACAGTGGCTCACATCATTTTCTCATTGTCCATTCTCACCTCAGGTTGCCCTTTAGTTCAAAGTTCTTATTTTAGTCAACCAATAAAGTGGTACCTAAAAATTCTAAAGTACAAAGCTGAAAAGGTAAATAAGCAAGAGTAATTTTGCTGGTTTAAATTTATGAGATGGCATTTAGAATTGAACATGGCTCTTTAAAGGATAGGTTCTTTAAAAAATAAGAATATCAGCATTTGTGGTTGAAACAAATGTGTCATCCTAACCCTTGGAGTGGCCTCTACCCAAGGAGTAGTGCTTGGGAATCAAATACAGGAGGCATCTTTGGTCACATCCAATAATTTGCAATCTGTCTATAAAGTTTTGCTCAAGAGCTCAGGATCCCAACATAAGACACTGGCTCTAATCAGAGGAAAAACAGAACACAGAGGAAAACACATTAGCATTTTAACAACTTTTACCCATCTTTCCACCCCATTCATTAACATTTCCTTAGCATGATTATTTATATAAAAAGTATTACATTTATACACATGATTGATTGAATAAAACTCTTCCTTCTAGGAATTACAAGAAACCAAACATTTTATAATTTAACTTGCTAATCATATTAACAAAGAGTGAGCTACAGGTTCTTGGTTATAAACATCTGTGATTTGCAATTAAAACCTTTAGGGAAACAATGCTACTTACCACAGTTTTGCTCATCGCTCAGATCCCCACAGTCATCATATCCATCACACACGAGGCTATAATTAAGGCATTTGCCTGTGTGACAGCGAAACAGATCCTCACTGCAGTCTGCAAATAAGAGAAACTACCAATGTGTTACCAGGGATATGCAGATGTTATAATAGAACTTTATTTAACAAAAGTCCATCATGGTAGGAGAACAATGATGACAACCTGGTCCACACCTATTGCTTCACAGGTGAGGAAATTATGGCACAGAGAGACCCAATGACTTGCTCAAGATTACTGAACAAGAGACTGTAGAACTGAACTAAAGACCTTCGGGGTCTTGAGCCGAGTACTTCTATCACCTTCTGAAGATGACTTCCATGTTATGTTATTCCTTTAAAGAAGATGAGAAAGGTCATTCTCATTTCACCTTGGTTTCTAGTGAAATTCATGTTCATGCTCATGCAAAATGAAGGATTTTAATAGGAGCAGGGGGAAGTAGTGCTTTCCTAAAAGTGTTTCGTTTACAGTAAAAGTCTAGGTCAGTCAATGGTAAGCATAAACATAATAGAAAAAAATAAGCCACTAGATTACAGAGTTGTTACTTCTTTTGCATAAACATTACTATTTAAGTTATCTGAATGTTGCATAACATCTGATCCTCAAATAAATAAGCACTGTCTTAAATAAGCAAGATGAGAATAAGTGATATGTAATCTTAAGAAGTTTGAAGTTTAATATTGAAATCAAGTATCTGCAGGGAAATAGTGTCTCAATTTTAATAGAAGATAAGGTCATCTATTGGATAGACCTGAACTCCTAACCTGGTTCGAATGTCTGTTAGTTGTGGGACTTTTAGTGTGTTAGTTTGAAGTTAGGAAAATTTCAGCCACTTTACAGGTTTGGGAGAACATTTTAGTAAAATAATATATGTAAGGTGCCAATACTATTCAATGGGAAAAGAATGTTCTTTTTAATGTATTATACTAGGACAATTAGAAACCAAATGTGCAAACATATAAACAAAAGCACTGATCTTCACCTCAAACCATACACTAAAACTAACTCAAAACAGATCATAGGCTTAAAAGTAAGAGTGAAAATCATGAAGCTTCTGGAATAAAACAGGGGAAATTTTTTTTTAACTTTGGATTAGGCAAAAAATTTTAGATGTGACACCCAAGCCCAGCAATTTAAAAAAAAAATACCATTAAGAAAATGAGAAAACAAACCACATACTAGAAAAACACCCACAAATCACCTATGTGATAAAGAACTTATATACAGATAGAATAGTAACACCCACTAAAAAGACAAAAAGCAACCCATTACAAGTGAGCAAAAGACTAGAAAAGAAAGACTTTGTGAAAGACATACAAATGGAAAAATTTTCTCCACATTTTTAGTCATTAAAGAAAGGTAAACTTAAACCACATCTAATGTGTAGATACCACTACATATTCTCTCACATGGCTCCAGTCAAAAAGGTAGATAATACCAAGACACTGTCAAGGATTTTGAGAAACTGAAACTCTCATGCTTTGCTAGTGGGAGAAAAAATAATAATAATACCACTTCAGAAAACAGTCTGACAGCTTACCCACATCTAATTCATGAATTCTACCCTTAGGAGTCTATCCAGGAGAAATTAAAACATATCCACACAAAGACGTGTATATGAGTGTTTATAGCAACATTATTCAAAATAGCCCCCAAGTGGAAAAAAATCCAAATGCTCACAAACAGATGAATGAACCATAAATATAATATGCTCATACAGTGGAATCTATCCAGAGATCAAAAGAATCAAACCACTGTTCCATGTGACAGTTATTAATAAGACTCAAAATGTTTAAGTGAAAGAAACCAGACTACATGTTATATGATCCACTTATGAAATTTCAGAAAAAAAAAAAAACAAATTTACGGAGACAGAATTTAAAGCAGTGGTTCCCAGTGTCTGGAGGGAGAATGACTGCAGATGTGTGGGAGGGAAGTTTAGAGGGAAAGGGGAAAGTTCTAGGGCTCCATTGTGGTGATGGCTGCACAACTCTTATCAATTTACTAAAAGTCAATAGGTGAAATTTATGGTATATAAATTATACCTCAAAAAGCCTGTAAAATGTTCTACATTAATAGGGGTAAAGAAGCCCACGTTTATAACTAACTAGGTTTCTTTTTTCCTCTGAGGAATTCAAAATGATTTTATTTCTTTTTTTAAGATTTTATTGGTAAATTATAATTATATGGAATAGTGGACTTCATTGTCACAGACACATAACATAATTTGGTCAATGTCATTTAAATATATTCTCTTTTCCCTTATTTAAAATAAGTGCAAAAATAGGTTGTATATAGCTGGAGAAGAATTAGGGAAGATGGGCAGAATTTCAGTGGTGGGATAGGAATGAGAATTTTATCATGTGTCAAGTACAGGGAACAGCAAAAATAAATGAAAAAAAAAAAGATGAGACTGGGAGCTATATTTGAAGATCACTCTACTCCACTGTTCAGTCTACTGAATTCCAGCTGCTGTTTGTCCTCCTGTATCTCATACAACTGGTGGTAGGCACCTCTTTACTATAAACATCCCAACTGGATGACAACTTATTTTCAAAAGTCTTTGGCTCCCATCATTTAGCTTCCAAGTTCTAGCATTCTGTAGCACCACGGGTGATTACAGTTTACAACAACCTATTATATATTTTATAAAGTGGTAGAAGAGAGGAGTTTGAAGGCTCTAAGAACAAAGAAATGATGATAAGATGAAAATGATAATTCCTTGATTTGAGCATTATATATTGGATGCATGTATTTACTGAATTATCACACTGCACCCCATAAATATGTTAAATTAAGCCAGAGGCAGGGAAGCCTTTGACATTGATCAATTAAACTATTAACTACATCAAAATGTTACATTTATATATGCATGAATCATAAATATCTATTTCAGAAAAAAAGCATTCTAAAAAGAACAATTCAAAAAAATTTAGAATCACATCATTTTAGAAAGGAAAGGGTTTTAGAGATCATCTGTGCAGCATCTTCAGTGAGATGAGTGTATGTACACAGAAAAAAATGCACATATGTTCACAATTACACACATACAGAATTTTTATAAGTACTTTTTACTTTATTACTTCTCCCAGCCTGAAGATTTTTCAAATTAAGATAGCCACATTAAAATAAAATACAAGAACCAAGAGGTCCTAGCTATGGCCTTGACTGTACTAATTCCTCCCCTCAGCAGAGGGCGCGATCTCCACACCCCGCAACCCACTGCTGAATGAGATGCCTGACAGCTGAGTCCAGAAAGGTTAAGACATTGGTTTTCATCTTCACTGGGCAAATTTGAAGAATTTGTGAATCGAGATATACCCATTTCCATGCAAAGTTTTAAAAGGTCTTTTAGATTTTTTGTTCTATTTTAATCTAAATTACTCTTGTTGGAAGTATTGAATCAATGTTAGTATTAATGATAACCAGAAAAATAAGGTATCCCAACTTGATTATAGGTGCAAAAATACATGCACCCTCCAGAGTTGTGAGGGGTGGAATGGCAGATTTAACCATATGAGTTAAATTTCTATTTAAGCAGTGCACCTCATGTGTTTTGATGATAGGAATACTGGGGAATCAAATACTCCTTTCAGAATCTGATTAACAAGAGAACACAACATTTTCAAAGGTTTATATGTGCTCTTTGAGGTCCATTCTGCACCCCTGCTAATTCATTCTAACACACCTCGTTGGAGGTATGTTTAAAACTAGTGCTGTTTTATTAAATTACTTTATAAATGGGGAGGAAACAGGCATTTTTTTTAATCCTCATTATTCACACAGGTGCAAATTGAACTTTCCACTGTTATGACTTCCTTGGTGAGGAGCCATTTTCAGAAATTAGACACAAAATTAGTTGGATTTGGAAAACAACTTGTTACTTCCCTAAGGTCTGTGTGATTAGTAAACATTCAAAACCTTCACCGGAGGCAATGCACAGCCAGAAATACACAGCAAATAACAAAGATCACAGTGCCTCCTTTTATTGGGATCAATGTTTATTTGAACTGAAAAGAGATGTTGTCAGCACAACTTGAGGCCAACAAATCAAAATTTTCAAAAGGTGCTTGCTGCGCCGAATTTCTTGCTCAATATGAGCATAATTTTCTGTGACCTAAGGTTTTTCTACATACAGCTCCTTTTTTGTTAAGGAGATCTTGATGCAAAACATTTCTTCTGAAGTTCTTGTGTGTTGATATTTATTTCAGTTTGGAAACTCATGTGAACTTTTGTCCCTCAAAATTATCATTAAAAACTAAGCAACAAGAAGGCTTTTAAACAAGTGCTTCATTGAATTGGCTCAGTCTCTGTAACTCCATAAACAAATATGTTGCCTCAACTCAAGAACTATGGAGGCTCAATTTCCACCCACAGAATGTTAAAAACAGATGGGACCAAAAAAAAAAAAAAACATTTCATCCAACCCTGTCGCTATGAGATGGCCAGAGAGGTCCAATGGTTTGCCTACCATTACCTAGCCCATTAACATCAGAGCTGTGAGAGAGTCTGGAAGAGAGCTGTTCAACTGCATTTCTTGCTGATATTTGGGACTGGGTAAATTCTTCATTGGGTTGGGAATGGCTGCCCTGGACACTGTAGGATTTTTAGTAGCACTCTTGGCCTTTAGCCACTGAATACCAGTAATATCTTTCCTCATCCTTGTAGTTGTCAAAAATGTCTCCATCCATTGCAAAATGTTACCTAGAGGGTTGAGAAACACTGTTATGGAATACACAGACATCACCTAAGGGCAAGGCCTGGCTTTAGTATCACCATTTCCATCAGCTGCTCTACAAAACCAGCTCCTGGTGATCTCCCCACCCCTTTTCTGCTCATAATACTTAGTGCTACTACATTTTTGTTTGCATCAATCTTGTTTGACTTTGTGTCATTGCTTGTATTATTGTTTTAAAATACCAGATTTAGTAGTTCCTATGTTTACATATTATTTTTCTGATTAGACTAAAATTCTCACGAAGAAAGAAACTGTATCTTAGCATGTTTAGTTATTGGGTTATCTAGAACATGCTTCCCACATAGTTGGAATTCAAGAATATTCAATAGTTAGATTGACTTGGTATAATCAGGTCACCACTACACAATAGTGGATTTTGCAAACAGTAGAAGCTTCCTCTTTTATTTTAGAATGAGATCTTTTGGTTATTTTTATAGAAATCTTTTTAGCATTTACTTGCATCCCATTTAGTAAAAAGATCATAGTAGCTATATTCATTTTTGATGACCTGGAAATATTACTTGGAATATCATTTTTTATTTTGTGCTATTCAGTTGCCTCTTTTCTAAAATATCTTCATGTGGTGCTGCTTTTAAAATTGTTGTGCATATTTTAGTGCTTATGTCTCGCCTACCACATATCTCCTGAACCTTTAACAACAGTTCCATGACTTCCAGTGGTCATCCTCTGCACCCTAGAAATGAGAGGTGCTGGGTGGAGGTGGCAGAGAGAATAAGATGACACTAACACCAACAGTGATAATCACAACCATAAATCCTAATACTCTTTGAGAGTTACTGCATGTTATTGCTCTACATGCTTTATGTGCTCTGGATTATAATATCTTTAATGCTAAATAGTTTTGTCCCCACTTCATTGATGAAATTGAGGCACAAAGAGGTTGAGCATCTGGCCCCAAGCTCTGTGATGCAGGAAATGGTAAAGATAAAAATGTAGGCAACCTGTCTCAAAAACTTAAAGTATTAGCCACCATACTGTAGCACACTCATTATAATTAGGTAACCACCGTCTTCAAAAATAAATCCACCAATTTTACCCGAAACTCAGAACAAATGATTTACAAAAGTATTTGATAGTGGTTTTATATGGTATAAGATATTTTGTAGCAGCTATATTTTCCCCTCTGGCAAACATTTTCTTTGAGGCTTTACAAAATCTCTATACATTCATTTACTATCTGATCATAGAATCAAAAGAATATATGGAATATATAGATACACTAGATATCTTCTAGTCCAGTGGTTTCAAATCTAGCTGTATGTTAGAGTTACTTAGGCAGCTTTGAAAATGTACTGCTGCCTAGGTATAGCTCCAGACCAACTGAATGAGAATCCCTGGATGCAGAGCTTCCTGGAGATGCTAACTTGCAGTCAGTCTTCATGCTAAGACAAGCCAGGGTTAGAGAAATAGCCTGCTTTAGGTTGCAGGACTTGAAATTTTTAGTTTTCTTAAGTTTCAAAAATATTTCCCTTAAACCACTAAAGTTGTTCCAGGTGGTTGGAAATCTTTTCATTCAATAAATACTTAAGAAAACAACTGCCATACAAGACAAAATTAGTTAAGGGGAAAAATCAGTAACATCACAGATACTTGAAGTGCTGTCACAATAGACAATTACTTCTCAAAGCATAATAGAATATCCAGAACAGTTATGCATTTTCTTGTCATATGAATGATCAGAATATAATCATTAACCAAATCTAAACTTTAATGACAAGGAAAAGTCCATAGTAGCATAACTGAAAGAAAACAGCATTAGATATGAAAATGTTCAGACAGGGTTGAAGTCTATACTTCAAATCCTGCCAAATTTATTCATCAACCTAAGCTCTGGCACTTCATTCATACAAGAAACAACAGATAATATCTCCAGTGCTGGTGATTAAATCAAATCACATGGGAAGTTGATTGGGTAATTCACAAATAAGTCCCTTCCCATCCTTCCTTTGAATATGACTAAAAATAAATGAATAATTCCAACAAACTGTACAAGCTACCTAATTTGACCCATATTTCAGAAAAATAGACAAGTACTTACTAGAGACCATTATTGCATCTAATCCATATATGCATGATCTCTTCTGGCAATCCTCTGCCGGTTTACCTGCCAGAACCTTACAAACTAGAATTTTCTTCTATTTCTCACTGGGCATACTCAGCAAAACTTCCTTCTCCCTCTTGACCATCTGTGGGGCTGTGTTCATGCTCCAATTTTTATGCAAGCCCTCATTCAAACACACACTACTCTTTCCCTTCAAGGTGGTGATGACAGAAGCATGGTACCTTCCATGAACATTCCACACTTTGAATGTCAAACTTGGGCACAGATGTGGTTTTATATGGTACAAGGTATGCAGATTTTGTAGCAGTTATATTTTCCCCTGTGGCAAACATTTTCTTTGAGGCCTTAAAAAATCTATATACATTCATTTACTAAGCACCTGCTCTGTGTTGTCAGGCACTTGTCAGATCTGATCATAGAATCAAAAGATTATATGGAATGTTAGCCGCAAAAGACACCAGATATTTTCTAGTCCAGTAGTTTCAAGGTCAGAGACAATTGCATGTGAAGCCTTCTATATCTGACCAAGGGTTTTTCTACAGAAATTTTCTGAAGGGATGCTTTCTGAAGTATGTTCATAAGGAAAGTCCACACTTACTAGGACATTGCTAAATACCTTCCAGAATGGTAAAATCTTCCTGTCCTGTTGGTGGTTAGGATAAGTGACCCCTTCAAGTTCAATTTCAACGAGTACAGCAGAAAGCACTTACGTGCTCAAAATACATGCTCAGAACCATGGAGAACAAAATGATGAAATAGCATTGGCCCACCCCAGGGAGTAGGGACACACATGGAATTTGAATAATGCTAAAACACAGGCCACCATGGAGATAAACAAGTGATTCCACCACAGTTCACATAAATTAGATGTAATTCAATTGAACTTTTTAGAATTCCCTACTATGGTTGTTTTGGTGGAATATTTCCCACTATATTTCCAGAAATATTCCCCAATATAAATATACATCCTATAAAATGTTTTTCCTATAAAATTATGTCATACTTTTTTCTGAAGAGAGAATTCCACATTGTAAAACAACAAATGTCTTACTGAAAACATTTCCTGAAATATGTGTGGCATAACTGGTGTTCCATGGAATGCTAGGTACTATGTAAAATAAACGAATGCATAAATAAAGGTGAGAGTTCATATGAGGAAAAAAATTTGAGGATATACCAGGTTAAGCAAAATTAATGTCGTTGTACAAGATTTCTTATAATGTTTAATAGACAAACAAGTATTTTAAACTCTCCAAGAAATAGCCATGAGAGCTTTTTCCAAAACTTTTTTTCATCAAGCATGTTTCAAGACTCAGGTTCTATGGAACCTAATTTTGGGAATCACTGAATTGAAATGTTACTATAATACACTGCCTGTCCAGAATTCTGACAAAGAACCATCTTAACCCTTCAGATAGAAGAGTTGGTCACTCAGCAATCAGACTAGAGGAATCTCTCAATCAAGGTCAGCCATCTGGAGGTCTTATAAAGCCTTGGTGATTCTCATGGGAAGTAAAAACACTCTTCCCATGCTAACTATGTCTGGTTATATACCCATTAAAAAGCAATTAGAACACAATTACACATAGGTCTGTTTTGAATACAGATCATGCAGTGTAATTCTCCAGGTTAGTTTCCCTTTTACTGTCTGGTGCATAAGTACAAAATAACTTGAAATCTAAAGCTATATTGGACAAACCACCATGACATCAATTCATTCAAAACAACTAATCAAGTCAATTTAGTAAACTGAGAATATTTAATGCCTTTGACTATATCCAATTTAGAAGAAGCATCTAAAAAAGATGCTTTGAATCGTGTTTGTTTTAGTTTACAGGAAAAAAATCCTATAAAAATATTCTTTTAAAAAAATTTCATTGTCCATTATACTCATGAAAACTTAAAATCCAAAACAAAATTCCTTACTCAAACAAAATAAATGTAAAATCTTCTCCCAATTCTGGGAGACTTAATGCAAAAACTTTTCAGTCACTGATCTGTTCCAATGTAGTATCTAGCTATTGAGTTCTTCTCAATAAAACCATGCAAACACACTACTGTCACTCTGGGATAAGGTAAACATGTTAGTTCACTTCAGAAAGGCAAACCAAAACTGTCCACGAAACACTGAAAGGTCGGTAGTTGTCAGGATTTGACAATGGAATGGTTTGGGTTTCTAGGCTCCTGAATAGAATCCCTGTCCACCAGAACAGACCCAAACAGCAGGCCACGTACTGCAATGTGCCTCGTCACTCCAGTCATCACAGTCATTGTAGCCATTACACTGTAGCTTCTGGGGGACACAGATCCCACTGGTGCACAGAAAGTTCTCACCTCCTCCGCAGAGCACTAAAAAGGGGGGAAGGGCAAAAAAAGCAATGTCAGAATAGGGTCTGTTTCCCCCCATTTAAGACAGAGAAATAAATAACAGAAAACCTTCCATTGCTGTTCAACAGATTTGTTTCCAAATTCCCTCTGTTTCATTGTCACCAAGTTCTCTTTGGTATTTTGAAACATTAATTGTGAAATTATCTAGAAATAATTCCAAGAGTGTTTGCTTGCACAGTGAGGAGTACATGTTCAGGGGGTGGGGGGAAGCCTCATTCATTGTATAGCTTATATGGGGAAAATACCCAAAGAGAATATCTTTCTTAATAATTGAAAATAATGTCAAAGTGAAGTATTACTAATTAAACAAACATAAAAACCCTCTTTTTCTAAAATGCTATTTTATGCAGCAGAGACGATTATAGTAAATATAAAGCCAGTCAATTGATGTGTACTGGAACAAAGCATAGAGACCCTATGCCCTGCATTTGAAATATATTTCCCGACTTTACTAAAAATGCCAGCTAAAATGTCAGAGTCTGTTTTGGCATAAGGAATGGGAAATGACATTAGCTAATAATATTTTCATTCATTCCCTGCCCCCAGTTGTACAGATACATTTTGATGTGTTTTGCTTTTGGTATTATGGTGCTCTTTTATCTGCCCCCTCTCCAAATTCAACAAATATTCAATTGTTTAAATTATGATAGATAAAAAAATCTTAAGATGAAAAGCTAGGAACACTTTTTAAGGAAAATGACAAATAAAAGGATATATCAGTTCAACAAAGTGGATGTTAAATTAATTTAAATATTTGGTAATAAGCCTGAAATGCATCTGACACTTGACTCAACAATTTTATTTCTTGAACTTCATACAAAGGATATCATTTTAATACATATGAATTTTATTTTTAAGAACATTCATACCATCATTGTTTATAATGTGGAAACTACAAAATAACAATTATGTCATAATAAGAAACTGGTTAAATAATTTGGCACCTACATAATACAAAATGTTATTACAGTCACTGAAAAAGTATATTTTAGAAAATACTCAATGTCCTGGGGAAAATTTTTAAGATACTTTAAGTGGAAAAACACCAATTGTTTTTTTCCACTTAAATATAAATATAATATAATTTGTCATTAGAAGAAGTATATCAAAAACTACTGTAACTGTCCCTGGTAATAGAATTAAAGGCAATTTTTATTCACCATAGTTTACTCTGTACTTTACAAATGTTCTTATAATGATTGTTATTTTTTTAATCAAAAAAGCAAAACTTCTGACTTTTTTCATGAACTCCAGTTGCAGTAGATAAAATGAACCTTGAACCCCCTTCCTCCTTTCACCAAAGCTAGTGTGTGTGATGTCAGCTGTGTGGTCCATCACCTGGTCACTGCCACCATTTCCCGAACTGGGTATTCCTTGATCAGATGAACGTTGTGGACTAAATACTGGGAACCAGGAAGTGTGGAGTATTTCACTCAGAATTAGAAAAAAAGAAAAGTACCAACTGAAAACTGCAGGTGCTAAGGTCCATGTCTGTCAGGCTTCCCCCAGTGTTCCTGGGACTCATCAGAGTGGCTGACACTCAAGAGTTTCTAAACTACTATTTGCAGGGAAAAGTCTCCTAAATCTCCAAGGAGCAATATACTACCACAAAGCAAAAAAAAATAAAAAATTAATAAACTATTTTTCAATGCTATCAAGGAAATCAGCATTTCAACTCGCTGAATGTTAAGTCCTAGTTGATTTGGTAAATTCACAATAACAACAGCAAAAATTTGGTTTTTCATTATATCCCACAATTTCAGAAGCAATAAAAATTACATTTATGGATTTCAACTTTCAAAATATTCAACATGTTTAATGATGCATAACAGTGTTAAGACAATTCAAGACTGGAATTATAGCACTCTGCTGTCGCCCACATCCCACATGGGCTACAGAAGTAAGGCCACTCTGGGTGAACTGGGCTGGCAACGAAAAATCCACACAAACACAAAAATACCTTTTTCCTCAATTGTGGGGGCCAAGATGGCTCTTAGACCTCAAAGATCAGCTCCCACACTGGAAAGAGGGAAAGGGGAACAAGAGAGGCAAGCAAGAGAGAGAGCACACCTGAAATCCCCCTGTTTATTGTGGAAAAGCCATTCATAGAATATTCCATCCAAATAAGGCAAGGGATTGGGTTTCAAAGGATGGAGTCTTGCTTGGAGATGTCTCCTGATCAGCAGGTTGATTGACATCTTGGAAAGCCACACCCATCTCAGGTGCTGTGTGGGATCACAGGCAGATAGAGAGAAAAGGCAAATCCCAATCAGGCAGCAACCTCAGGCCAGTCCCCTCTACTGCTCAGATGCACATAGCTCACACACAGCCCATGGATGGCTCCCATGACACTCTGCACTGTTATAGCTACAAATACAGATTCCTAAAGGGCACCCATGAAACCAGATATAAAATGAAAAGCCAGAATACTAAGATTTTATTAGCTAGTCTTACAATATCCCCTTTCTAGGGTTAAGAGAAAAAAATTAAAAATTAAAGAATGATAATCCTATTGTGAGACTATATGTATACATACGAAAGAGTGCAAAAGTTCCATTTATCTGCATTGCAGCAACTGCAGTGCCTTGAGAATTATTGCCTTCCCCACCTACAGCTTTCAAGATGCCTCTAGAAACACAGCTGAAAGCTCAACATTAAATAGCTGCTATCCTCCAGATCTCATCTCTAAGATGCAATATATATGACTTCAGTAAAAACATTTCTTGTGTATGTTCACTTCAAATCTGGATCAAATTTAAAATCCAGCACTGCTTGCATTGTCTTGGTTATTGATATCTCCTGTCTTGGCTGATTCAGTAGAAGGTGACTTCTGTGTGTATCTACATTTGGAGGTGGGGCTACCCTTGGTTTTAGGATATTATGAATTTTTTCTTTATTTTAATTCTTTCTTTGAAAGTTCATAGTTCTGCTAATCAATATTACTTTTGCAAAATCAACATAAGTAGTCTCTAATCTCTTTCTGATTGATTGCTTTTGAGCCTTATTCAGAATTTCCAATTTATTTTTATACAACTTTTCAATCAATGAAATGATATAAACACATCTTGTTTGGAATTTCTAAATACCCTAGAAGATAAACAGGTAGGCATTTTTATCTCAATTTTCTTGAGGGAATGATAGTTTGCAAATAGAGAAACTGTAGATTCATAAGGTTAAAGACAATGGTGGGGGGAAGCCACATGGTTAGTTCAAGGTACCTGGGCTTCCAGCCCTGTCCTCCACAGCACGACTACTCCCGTTTCTGTACATGTCAGTGGTGTAGTCAGCTGACATGAGGCCAGTTCAAGGGTATCAGGTTTGAGTGAAAGCTCACACTTGTCCTTACTTTTCTATCTAAACAAAAGACACATGTCTGTCCTTCAAGGGAATTGAATCCAGATGAAATGACATTCCACATCAGCTCTAGTTCTTTTTTTTTTGGAAAATCTCCTAAGAGGGCTCTTAACAAGTTGCTGCTCAGAGGTTTTGACCATACATTTCACTGTCTTATACCAGTCATCATCCAACAGACAAAAGGAGATCACAGAGAAGTTGTGCTATATAAGCTCAACACCACTTCCTATATCATTGATAATTCTAAGAAGAAGGTATTGGATTTTAAGTCAATGGCAGATTGATGATTGGAAGATTTATTAATTAATTTAACAAATATTTACTGAGAATCTACTCTGTACTAAGCACTATCCTAGGGATACAGCAGTGGAGAAAGCAAGAAATATTCTCACCTCAACAAAGCATGTATTCTATTCATCATCATCTAATGAAGAAACTTTTACTAACTAAAGATGCTTCACCATCAATTTTTACTTCCATTTAAACATTGGACTGTGAGTACTACTTTAAGAATAGCAGAATGCAATTCTATTTCCTAGTTTACATATCCTGATAATAGGGACATTTATGATCACCTGGGCTTTACAATGCCAAGGATTTTGAAAAGTATACACCCATGAGGATGATCAGCTCTTTTCAGTATTCTTGTCTCTGATAATAAATTGATGAAATAACTATTCATAGTCTGGAACTGCCTTGATATTTTCTGCAATTGCTTCCAGCCCCTTAGGTTCTCTCTGTCTGTGTATTATGGTGGCATTCATATGAGCAAATGCTCTCATTACTCTGGTTATTAACTTTTGGAGTCTTTTACAGAAATGACCCACTGGCTGCTGACTTTATGGTGTCCTCATTTGCTTTATCTTTGAACTGATGCCTAAAGCCTGATGCTCAATTTTAGTTCTACCTCTAAAGAGAATGTTTACCTTCCATGGCACATCCTTACCTGGACCTATACTGAAAAAAAAAAAAAAAAAGCCTGTTGGTGCTGGATTCTATACAATGCTTGAAATTGAGTTAATAAAGTGGCTCTACTTCAAGATAATTTGATGAGATGAGAAAGAGTGAGTATAATCTTTCAGCAAGTGATATAAGAATTCTTCTCAGATAGAGCACTGTATCTTTATGCGCAAAAGATGGATAAAAGGCTTGGGGTGAAAAATTAGGGTTGAGAGAGAAGACAGAAAACTCAAAGGTATGCTCAAGTCACCAAACTTGTACTCCTCCCCGCCTTCTAATGAGGTGAGTTGTGTTATCTAGAAGGCCTTTCATTTTGCAGAACACTAAGAAGGGGTGAGTAGGAATGCAGGGGGATCACAGGGCTCTGAGTAAGCAAAGAATCAGGGTCCCAAGAGAGAATAACAGAGCCAATGCTCTGTTATTGAGGAAGAGATAAATCTGAAAAGTTGGTTGTCTCCCATAGGGGCACAGTACGGACAAGACCCTTTGAGACACAGAGATATCTAACAGGCTATTTTGAATTCTTACTTAGAAGTTGGAAGTGTAATTGCTTCCTCCATCTGCCACATGGAATCAGCAAGGCTTGTGCAACTCTCTGATTTTAGACCATGTGGCACCCCTCTAGGATCTTGGTAGGCACAGCTGAT